TTTTTAATTTTTTTAATATATTTGACAATGATAAGTATTTATAATATGTATACATTAAATATAATATTTCATTCATACCTTTCTTTCTTTTTTGTGAGAATGAGGGTCACCAAAGAAATCACTTCATTAGATGCAAAAGTGAGTATGATTTAAGCACATTAATATCTTATGGGGACACAAGTAAGGGCGAAATTGGAATTTTTTCTATGAGTGACCGACCAATGTGTAATTGTGTGTGTATATACATGTTATATTTCAATAAGCCAACATTTAACTATATATATATATATTCATATATGAACAAATGTTAAAGGACAAATAGCATATGAGGAGATATACTAATATATATTGTAAACAAAGGAATTTGATGTCATGAGTTGAATTAACACCAACTCCATGGGTAACAATACTAAGAATTAAACTAGCAAAAAAATACAATAAATCAATAATTAATTCTAAATAAATTGAAATAAAATTAATTTCGGAGGCTCAAAATCACTATACTCAGAGTCTTTGAACAATTTGGTTCCTCAAGTCATAATTTAACCAATTTAGTCCCTATAGTGAAGGATTTGGAGCAATTAAGCCCCTCACGATAATTGTCGTCCATTGCATCATGAAATTCGCTGACGTGGCATAGACGACGTCAATTTTCAGACGGACTAAGCTGATGTGGCATGCCACATCATATTTTCATAATAGAAAATAAATAAATAAAAAACAATGCTGAAACAAATAAATAAATGTCAAAGCTCTTTTACACTGTCAAAACCATAATTTTCATCATATAAAAATCTCAAATTAACCCTTATCAGATCAAATTTTCACATCCAAAAGGAAACAAAAACCAAAAGGGAAATCAAACAAAATCCCAGCCAAAACGACAACAAATACCTTGGTGGAAATGTTGAGAGCGATTACAGGCTCGCGTGGCTGAGAAACTAAAACCCTAAACTCCAAATGAAAGCGAAAAACATGTGAAAACCAGAGGGAAGAAACAAATTCAAAGCAAGAACACACACACGCAACAAATTCAAAGGGAAAAAAAAGGAAGAAGAACAAACCACAAACAAAGAAGAAGGTTGAAAGTTGATTGAGAGGAGTCAGAAGTCGTTGGAGAAAAGATGTGGTCGGACGACGGTCATTTGTCTGGCAGACTCCTGGACTCAGAGCAACCTGCTACTCAACAGAAGTCTCTCTCTTGCATGCCACTGATCCTCTTCTTTCTATTCCTCCCTCTCGAGTCTCGACATCTATGCTCTTCTCTCCGTTCTCTTCTCGCTCCTCAATTTCTCTCTTTAGAATGTTCTAAGTTTTCCTGCATTACTTATCTCCCCAAAACCCACCCCAACTAAAACCATCTGAATCCAAGCCTAAACCATTTTCAAAGATACGTGTCACATAAATAAGTGGGTGCCATAAGTCAGTTTTAGAACACAACACGTCATTTTTTTAAAAAAATCCTGGGCAGCTGTCTCGCAACTACTCCGCAGGATTGGTTTTGAATGAAAGGTTTGATTTGATGGTGATGGATATTGTTCTTCAATTGGGTGATAGTGTGATATTTTAGAGAGAAAAACTATTAAGATTATGAGAGAGGAAAAGATGGAAAATATTTAAAAAAAATTATGTAGCATGTTTGAATTATATAGTTGTAAATTCGAATATAGTAGTAACACCATGAATAATTAGAGGAATTTCGTTTAGCTTTCTATATGAAGTACAATAATATATTAAAATATAATTTTAAATGATATGGTATATGGCAAGGAGACCCTAATAGAAGGATTAGATATCTTTAATCAAATAAGCAAGTTCCTATGTTTGAAATAAATTCAATTAGGTGACGATGGTGACCAAGAGAAATTAAATCGAAAGTGACGTTCATGAATTTTGTTTGCTAGATTTTATTAGATCTAGTTGAGAAATCACAAAGGAATTAAATGTTGTAATGGAAGCCAAATTGAAACAATATAAAAATATAATTTTAAATGATATGGTATATGGCAAGGAGACCCTAATAGAAGGATTAGATAACTTTAATCAAATAAGCGAGTTCCTATGTTTGAAATAAATTCAATTAAAGAGGTGCTGATGGTGACCAAGAGAAATTAAATCGAAAGTGACGTTCATGAATTTTGTTTGCTAGATTGTATTAGATCTAGTTGAGAAATTACAAAGGATTTAAATGTTGTAATGGAAGCCAAATTAAAACAATAGAAGTAGTTAGCAATTTGAAAAGAAGGGTTGAATTGAACGAGATACAAATTAGAGGATATAAATGCTAAAAAAATATTTTGGGGTTTTAATGAAGCAATCAAATCATGTATGGATAATTGAATGTGAAGATATTATTAAGAAAACAAGAAATTGAGAATTTATTATTTATTTGGATTAGATTATCAATGTTTAAGGATTAAAGGAAAAAGGAAGGAGGACTAAATTGAAAGGAGATTAAAGGTCAAGCGGTATGTTAGCAATTATACCTAAAGCACCAAAAAAAATTAATAGTGGGCGGCACCAACTAACCCGCCTTCATTCCCTCATTCTCTTCATCTATTTTCTTTCTCATTTTCTCTCTTTTCCTCCATTATCAACACCCTTAAGCTTTCTCTCTCTAGCTCTTCTCTATCTATGTGAAGTTAAATCTTTCATGCAAATACATATTTTCATCCTTATCACTTAGACTATCATACCCCCATGTTAATTTGTGGAGATGATGAAGAATTGGAAAGAATACATATGTTGAAGATTTAACAGTATGTTTGGTTCACATGAATGAATTAAGTTGTAATTGCATTTGAATTCAATGGGAATTGAATTGGGCTGGAATTGGATTGAATGGGTTTTTCAATTGTCTGGTTCAAATGTATTGAATTAGAAATGCTGGCTTTATTCTTTTGTTTGGTTGGACTGAATTGTAATGGAAAAACAAAGAAAATATTCCAAATGACAAAAATAACCCTAACTCTATTTTTTAATTTTTCTTACTTTATATTATATTATATATATATATATTCATATATTATCAATGAAAAAAAAAGCCCATCGTTGCAAATCAAACCGTTCTAAACATTAGAACTTTCTAAACATTATAATAGAAAAGAATGATAAAGACAACTTGAAGGATTTCCTACAAAAATCCAACCGTTCAACTCAAAGATTAGATTACATTGGTGGGGAGAGTTTTTGCATATCAATTTCTACTGTACATTTCCCATATGGCTCTTTACATATTTACACAACTCGACAAAAATTACTACAGATGACCAACCCAACACCTTTCTTCAAAGGTGCTGCCTCTGTCATAAATGCAGAAATCCAAGTGATCCCCACTCCTGCTCGGTTATCATGCTGGTTACAGGCTCCATCAACATTTATTTTGATCCAATATGTGGCTAGCTTGTCCCAATTACTCTCATTATGGTGAAAAAGGATGCTTCACAAGTCTTTATGGAATACTGAATACAATGAAAACAAGTAGTTAACCAACAAAAGAAATGAAATTTAGGAAGCCTGGACATCCAAATTATGGTAAAGATAGGTGTGAGGGAATTAAGAATGCCCACCACTCTTTGCCCAAACCCAGACATGATTAATGTATAAAGAAGAAAATGAGTTTTTTTTGGTGAAAAAGGAACTAGATTAAATTAGGAAATAGAACGAAATAAGGTTTCTCCCCCAACGTCAGCCATAACAAGGGACTGCACAAAGTTTGGGGGGGGGGGGAGGAATAAGTTACAAAAGGATTCAAATCAGTTTCATCAATCCTAGATTAACTATTACAGGGGCCACCCATAGAGGGGGAAAAACAGCTGCCTCTTCTGGCAAGGGCATCCGCTCATCTATTTCCTTCACGAAAGACGTGTTTAAGCTCGATCTCCGTGAAGCACCGGAAAAGTTTTCTGCAATCGTCGATCAAATTATCAAGATCGAAGTTAGACAGATTTGAATTCAGATTAATCAAGCTTAAACTGCAGTTGCGTCAAGTTCGATTTCCAATTGATTAATATACAAATTTTTGGCAAGCACTAATCCATCACGAAATGCCCATAGTTCAGCCTCAACACTAGTAACAATTCCAAGCTTTCGATGTTAGCCAATAATCCAACTGCCAGAGCTGTCTCTGATGATTGCGCCAGCGCCTCCCCTTCCGGGATTTCCGATGGCAGAGCCATCAGAATTAAGCTTATACCAACCATTTTTGGGTGTGTTCCATCTGATCGGAACGAAGTTGACAGAGATCGTGCGGTTAGTGCCGGCAGCCATGGCAAAGAACTCAACAACTTTGTTGATAGCATTAGGAAAAGCACCAGGAAAATGCATTCTATTTTTGAAGATTTTGGCATTTCGAAGCAGGTGTTCTATAGTTTCTTCCGCAGAGTTGCAAATGGGGCAAGTGGGGTTGCTGGCAAATTTTCCCGAGGCAAGGAAGGACATGGTGGGAAGAATGTTATGAAAACATTCCCACACGAAAAACTGCAGCTTGGGGGGGGGGGGGGCATTTAAGTTTCCAAATTTTTGCCCAGAAGTTACTTGGAGCTTTGAGAGCAGGGAAGCTGAGGGCAAGTCGATAGGCAGAAGACAAAGAGAAAGTTCCATTCGTAGTAAAGTTCCAGCATAACAAATCATTTCCAGAGTGGGAGAGAGGGAAAGAGGTGCCAAAAATGGATTGAGAAGTATCATTCGGGAGATCAAAACTAATTGGCAGAGAGCTGAAGTTAGCGATGTGCTCTTGAAGGTCTCTGACAGAGAGTGATGATTCTGGCAGGGGCAAAGGGCCATGAACAAGAGAGTGTAGAAGGCCAAGTCCCGTCCAATTATCATTCCATAGGTTGATGTTAGAACCGTCCTTGACAATCCAGCGAATGCCTTGCTCAAGGAGAGAATAAATGGTTTTCATGGATTTCCAAGTTATGGAGGCTTGCGGGTTGGAGGAGAGCCTGGATGGATTTCGCAGATATTTCTTTTCAAGAACTTGGGCCCAAAAAGTATTCCTGTTATGGATGAAACGGCAGTTGAGTTTTGTCAAAAAAAGCAGAGTTATTGGCAGAAGCCTTCTTGATACCAAGTCCACCTAGATCAACAGGTTTGGTGATGATGTTCCAATTGATTCGGTGGAGCTTTCTGAAATTTTCAGAAGAACCCCATAGGAAGTTACGAATAATCTTATCAAGGTTATTGCAAATACTCCTAGGGAGGGCCATAGTCTGCATATAGTAAGCTGGGATGGAGCAAGTGGTGGACTTGATCAAAGTCGCGCGTCCTGCGAGGGAGAGAAGAGAGGCCTTCCAACCAGCCAGTTTCGACCTAACTTTATCAAGGAGGAACAAATAATCATCTTTGTAAGGTCTATTATGGTGAATTGTGATACGAATCTAGTTGTTTTAAGATTCAAATCCACCCTTGTGACCCGCCAAGAATCAACTTGAACAACTTTCAACTTCTAGATGTGTATGTCGACAATCTCACCCAAGCAATCTTCTTCTTTCGTCGGCCTTAGACCTCCAATTAGACTTGCAATTGAACACTTAAGATCACAAGATTCACAAGCAATCAAGTATCACAACTTAATTGTTTGCTAGGACTCGACAAGATTGAAGAACCCTAAGTTTTGCTCAAACTAGAACAAAGAAGCTAAGATAATCAATTTGGGTAAAAAACCTCAATTTTATTAATCAACTCAACTTCTGTTTACAAGAGGGGTTTGGTGCCTTTATATAAACATAGGGTGATGCCCTAGATCTAGAAAAATAACCTAATTTTCGTCCAAATATATGGCCTAGGCTAAAACTAGTCCAAACCCAACTAGGAAAAGGAAATAAAGACATAATTAAACAAGGATTGGACTTAGTCAAACAAGGCCCAACCCAAATAACATCCAAACTTAAAAATAAGCTAATTAAAGATAGAATAAAGCCCACAATGGCCAAATTACAACTCTAATGACCTAGTGCTCATCGATTTCAAGAAGAATGCACAACTTGGAATCGATGGGAATATTCCTTTGTTGATGATCTCCAATGGGCTTCATATGATCTCCGATGGCTTTAAACTCTTCAAGATGAACTCTAATGAGGCCAAACAAAGCTTCCTTGAACCTTTTAGCTCTTGCCCTTGTCATTGGGCCTAATGGCATCTTCAATGGATCAAATGGCATCTTAGGCAACTCCGATGAGCTTGAAACTTCTTCCTTAGCATCTTCAAGCTTCTCCAAGCCTCCTTGCCGCATATGCACATCCTCTCCATGATCTCCATTGTGCTCTTCAAGACCATGATGAGTCCTTAGCGCATCATCCCCTCTCCCTTGAAAAGGATTTGTCCTCAAATCTGCATCATTATCAAACAAGGATAAGTCTGAGACATTAAAAGTAGCACTTACATTACCATATTCACTAGGAAGATCTAGCTTGTAGGCATTGTTGTTGATCCTCTCCAAGACTTGGAATGGACCATCTCCACGAGGTAATAGCTTAGACTTCCTCTTCTCAGGGAACCTTTCCTTTCTTAGATGCAACCAAACCCAATCTCCGGGTTCAAAAATGACCTCTTTGCATCCCTTGTTAGCATTCTTCATGTAGTGTTGTGTTTTCTTCTCAATTTGAGCTCTAACCTTTGTATGAAGATCCCTAACAAAATCTACCTTGCGTTGCCCATCCATGTCAACTTGCACACTTAAAGGTAAACTCAACAAATCTAATGGAGTTAAAGGATTAAAGCCATACACACATTCAAAAGGTGAAAATCCAATTGTACGATGTATGCTTCTATTGTATGCAAATTCAACATGAGGTAAACAATCTTCCCAAGTCCTTAAGTTCTTTTTAATCAAAACTCTAAGTAAGGTAGACAAAGTCCTATTAACTACTTCAGTTTGACCATCAGTTTGAGGATGACAAGTAGTTGAAAATAACAACTTAGTACCTAACTTATCCCACAAAGTTCTCCAAAAGTGACTTAAGAACTTAGCATCTCTATCACTCACAATCGTCCTAGGCATTCCATGTAGTCTAACAATCTCTTTAAAGAACAAATTAGCTACATTAATGGCATCATCAGTTTTGGTGCATGCAATAAAGTGTGCCATCTTAGAAAACCTATCAACGACCACAAAGATAGAATCTTTACGTCTCCTAGAACGAGGTAATCCTAAAACAAAATCCATGCTAATATGAGTCCATGGTTCATGAGGAATAGGCAAAGGAGTATACAAACCATGAGGTTTAGATGTAGATTTAGCTTGCAAACAAGTAATGCAACTAGAAACATGCTTTCCTACATCATATCGCATTTTAGGCCAAAAGAAGTGTTCATGCAATATCTCATATGTTCTATCAACACCAAAGTGACCCATTAAACCACCCTCATGCGATTCCCTCACAAGCACAAAACGCAAAGAACAAGTAGGTATACACAATCTAGACTCTTTAAACAAAAATCCATCATGCTTATAATACTTCCCAAATCCAGAATTCTCACATGCTTTAAACACATCACTAAAGTAAGCACCACTAGCATATAAGTCTTTAATAAACTCAAATCCAAGAAACTTAGAATCAAGCATGGAAAGTAAAACATACCTCCTTGATAAAGCATCGGCTACAACATTCTCCTTACCTTTCTTGTAGCGCACCACATATGGAAAGGATTCAATGAACTTGTATCGCACACCATATGGATTGAGTTCAATTTCTCTAATGGATGACAATCCACTAGGAATTTCCTCACAAAAATAAGCTACAAACTTCCCTCCTTGTATCAAAACAAGTCCAATTCCTACAAAATCACTCAAAAAAGACACAATATTGCTTGGAATAGCTTCAGCCAAGTTGTTAGTACCCATTAGTGTATTTCGAAACAAAGGTAAGATTAAAACAGAATTCTCATGCAAAGCACTCTTAATCTCACTTTTAGCTAACATACACTCTTTAACAACTTTCTTAGAAGTCTCTTTTCTTTCACCCCAAACAGTCCTATTTTCAATGCTATGATCAACCAAAACAGATTTGTTTTCATCACAATTAGCATCCAAAACAGAATTTGTTTCATCACAAACAACACCTAAAACAAATTTAGTGTCATCACAAACAACACTTAAATTAGGTTTGGTATCATCACTAACAACATCTAAAACAGATTTCATGTCATTGCAAACAACACTCAAATCAGGTTCAGAATTACTCTTTGAAAATAAGTTTGTTTTATCATCAAAACAATCAACAATTTGAGAATCGGTGTTACCCTTTTCTTTAGCCCTAAATTCATCATCCAATTTAGCAAAATCATCTCTCACTTTAATTTGATCTTTTAAAGCTTCTTGAAGTGATAAAGGAACTAAAGTAACATGTCGCTTACCATGCATAAAAGAGTACTTGTTTGTCTCACCATCATGCTTCACCTTGTTGTCAAATTGCCAAGGTCTCCCAAGCAACACATGACAAGCTCGCATTGGTAGCACATCACACAAGACATCCTCTTTGTACCTGCCCAAAGAAAGAGTAACCAAACTTGTTTGTTAACCCTAATTTCTTCTCTATCATTGATCCAACTTAAACTATAGGGTTTAGGATGTTTAGAAGTAGGTAGTTGTAACTCTTTCACCAAATAATCACTAACTATGTTTTTACAACTATCTCCATCTATAATCACACTACTAGGCTTTCCATTCGCATACATCCTAGTATGGAAGAAATTCTCCCTTTAGAACATCCCCTTTTTACATAGGCACTCAAAGTTCTCCTATCAACCAAACTAAGTGGAGCTTGTTGATTTCGAACCCCCAAAGCCTCAATTTTGTTGATATAGTGCCTAATTGTTGCATGATAGCTTGCAACGAGGTAGCCACATCATTGGCTTGATTTTGATCTCCCATTGTACCTACACACAAAGAAAAGTTAGTAATAAAATTTCCTCACAAGTGTGTGTGTGAATTACCTTTGTTGTGCTCTCGTGTTTGCACTCAACCTATGGATTGGCGATCCACTACTCTCTTAATGATCTCACAAGATTATGCCTTTTTCTAGCTTCAATAGGCCTAATAAGAGCAAATTGTTAGAGCCTCCTTTCTTCTCGTGACCTACTTGAGGAACAAACAATTAACTTGAGTGAATCAAAAACAAAAAGTGATCTATACAATCCAAACAACCTTTTGTCTCCCAAAGTTGCTGCACAAAACACAATTAGCAACACAAATCAATCAATTTAATCAAAAGAAAACCCTAGTACCACTTAGATCCAATTTTAAACCACTTGTCTCCAATAGGGTTTAAACCTGAAATTCTTCAAATTAGATCTCAATTCACAGCAAAAGCAACCCAAGAATCTCAAATAAGCAATCAATTAGAGTTAGATGCAATCAAATCAAACAATTGCAAACATAAAACCCTAATCCCCAATATACCCGGATAAGAAACCCTAGGTCAAAGGTGCGGCAGACACAAAAGATTTTTTTGATTTTTTCCAGTATTTTTCCCAGAAAGATCACACTAAAAGAAGTCTAGATCTCAAATTTCAAAGCTTTCCGAGCTCAAACGAAGCCAGAATAAATTTCAAAAGTTTCTGGTCGAAAATTTTTTTTTATTTTTTTTGATATTTTTCGATTAAACTACAAGGTATGAGGACTCCAAATCTGAATTTTGAAGTCGATTGGAGTTAAGATGAAATCCACAATAAATTTTTGAATTTTCGGAATTTTCAGATCTAGAAAATTTGAAAAACTTTGATGGATGAGATGGATGAAAAACTTGATGATAGATGAATAGAAGGATAGATTTACCGATTGAAGATGACAACCTATGCTCTGATTACCAATTGATACGAATCTAGTTGTGTTAGATTCAAATCTACCCTTGTGACCCGCCAAGAATCAACTTGAACAACTTTCAACTTCTAGATGTGTATGTCGACAATCTCACCCAAGCAATCTTCTTCTTTCGTCGGCCTTAGACCTCCAATTAGACCTGCAATTGAACACCTAAGATCACAAGATTCACAAGCAATCAAGTATCATAACTTAATTGTTTGCTAGGACTCTACAAGATTGAAGAACCCTAAGTTTTGCTCAAACTAGAACAAAGAAGCTAAGATAATCAATTTGGGTAAAAAGCCTCAATTTTATTAATCAACTCAACTTATGTTTATAAGAGGGGTTTGGTGCCCTTATATAGGCATAGGGTGATGCCCTAGATCTAGAAAAATAACCTAATTTTCGTCCAAATATATGGCCTAGGGTAAAACTAGTCCAAACCCAACTAGGAAAAGGAAATAAAGACATAATTAAACAAGGATTGGACTTAGTCAAACAAGGCCCAACCCAAATAACATCCAAACTTAAAAATAAGCTAATTAAAGATAGAATAAAGCCCACAATGGCCAAATTACAACTCTAATGACCTAGTGCTCATCGATTTCAAGAAGAATGCACAACTTGGAATCGATGGGAATATTCCTTTGTTGATGATCTCCAATGGGCTTCAAATGATCTCCGATGGCTTTAAACTCTTCAAGATGAACTCTAATGAGGCCAAACAAAGCTTCCTTGAACCTTTTAGCTCTTGCCCTTGTCATTGGGCCTAATGGCATCTTCAATGGATCAAATGGCATCTTAGGCAACTCCGATGAGCTTGAAACTTCTTCCTTAGCATCTTCAAGCTTCTCCAAGCCTCCTTGCCGCATATGCACATCCTCTCCATGATCTCCATTGTGCTCTTCAAGACCATGATGAGTCCTTAGCGCATCAAATTGGGAATCCGAGATACTTACCCAAGTTGTTCGTTTCGCCAATACCAAGAGTAGAAGTAATCCAATTTTTTAGACAAGGATCGGTATTTGGCGAGAAGAAAACTTTAGATTTAGCAAGACTAATTGATTGGCTAGATTCAGAGCAAAACGTTTCAAGAACTGTTTTAATAGCCTTGGTGGATTTCTTGTCTGCACTGGCAAAGAGGAAGATGTCATCGGCAAACATCACGTGTGAGAACTTGGGACACGACTTGGAGGAAGCTATTGGGATCCAATTCTTGGAGGAGCAAGATTTATTAATTTGTTGAGAGAGGAATTCCATACACATGATGAACAAATAAGGTGAAAGAGGGTCGCTTTGACGGATGCCACGTGAAGCTTTGAAGCTATCGAGTTTTCCTCCATTAACTAAAATTGAAGTTTCCGTAGAGGAAATAGCACTCAAGATTAGTTGTTGCCAATTAGGAGGAAAGTTGAAGGAGGAGAGGACCTTACGAATAAAACCCCATTCGAGTTTATCAAAGGCTTTCTCGAGATCAATTTTGATGGCCATCCAACCTCTTTTGCCTTTAGTTCTATGCATAGTGTGAATAATCTCTTGGACAATGATGGAATTGTCAATTCCTTGATGGCCAGGAATGAAGCTAGACTGGAGGGGGGAGATCAAAGTTGACAAGAAGGGGCGAAGTCTGAGAACCAGGATTTTGGTGACCAATTTATAAATAGTGTTGCACAAGCTAATGGGGCGAAATTGGGTAAGGGAAAAAGGGCCTTGGCATTTTGGAATAAGGGAAACTAAAGTGCCATTGAGCTCAGCCGGCATTAAAGCCGTAGAAAAGATTTTATGGACCTCAGCACAAACTTTGTCCCAAACAATGGGCCAATTTTTCTGGTAAAAGCCTGGGTGAAGTCCATCCGGGCCCGGAGCTTTATCGAGTTTAAATGTCCACAATGTCTTTTGAATTTTAATGTTGGTCAGAGGGGCATTAAGGGAGGCCCAATCATCTTCTATGAGCCTGATCCAGTCCAAGTCTATTGTATCAAAACACCTAGGCTCAACTAAGCTTGTAGTGGTGAACAGTTTGCGAAAGCTTGAAAGAATCAGATTTTGGAGCTCAGCCGGGTTCATGATCCAGTTACCATTGTTGTCCGATAAGCCATAGATCTTATTGTAGCGCCAGCGGATCAACGTGGTAACATGGAAAAACCGAGTGTTGAATTCACCTTCAATCATCCAATTTAGCCTCGATTTGAGCGCTGATCGGTCGTTGAACAAATCACAAGATAAATCTCCACAAACCAATAACTAAAAGCTAGGGCAAGTAGGGGTCGAATCCCACAGAGAAGGTGGAAACAAATTAAATCCAAATCACACTAAAGAAAGTCTTACCAAAGGGAATTTTTATGGGTTTTTCAAAATAGACAAATTAAACTAGAAAACAATAAAATAAAATTAAACTAAAGATCTAGAAAATAGTTTAAGAAAAACAATGGATTAAAAACATACTTCTTCTCCTTTAGGTAATTATTTTGATCAAATAAATCATGGATCATGGACACAAGACATGAATTTGACTTAAATTGCAATCAATTAAGAATCATAAATTATTCCAAATCGATATATAGCCTTAGACGTAGACATCAATTTTCATTGAAATAAAGTAATCCTCTTAATATCTTAAACAACTCCACTTGAATAATTGGTATAGGAACAGATGTAATGCTAATTCCAACATGCTAATAAGATTAATCCGCATCTTGCTAAAACTAACCTCTACTATTCTGATCTAGGTTTCA